ATTTAAATAATAATTAATTAAAAAATTAACCTAATTAATTTACCTCCTATTCAAATTAGCCTAAGTAAATTAACTATAAGTCAAAACTAACTAACCTAATTAATTTAACCATAATTAACAAATTAACTGGTTAACTTAAATAGCAATTAATTAATAAATTAACCTAAACAATTTAATTCTAATTGAAATTAACCTTATTAATTTAATTCTAATTCAAATTAACTTAAGTAAATTAACTCTAATTAAAACCTAATTATTTTAACCCTAATTAACAAATTAACCTAATTAATTTAAATACCAATTAATTAACAAATTAACCTAGCAAATTTAACTCTATTTTAAATTAACTCAATTAATTTAACTCTAATTCAAAGTAACCTAAGTAAATTAACCCCGACTCAAAACTAATTAACCTAACCAATTAACAATTAAATACAAAAAAATTAAAATTCAAATAATTAATTAGTATTAACCTAATAATTATGAAAATTAACAACTTTTTTAAGAAACAAAAGAGAGAGAGAGAGAGAGAGAGAGAGAGAGATCCTACCTTCGAACAAGGAAGAGACGGAGAGAAGAAATAGGAAATTCAAGGCTTTTTTGGGAAAAAAAGTTTGAAGTGGGTGGAGGTTCATTGGGGAGTGGAGAAGCGGGGTTTTGTGTAACGATGGCAATAGTGACTAGAGGAGGAGAGGGAGAGGAAGAATACAATGGAGGAAGAAGAAAGAGAAACTATGACTAAAGGATTTAGAATTAGTGAAAGATGTGATCTAGTTGTTAATTCATTGCTAATTAGTGATAAACATAAGTGTCAATCGCTAATTGATCTCTAATCTAGCGGAATTTGAATTACCAAAGTCCAATCATTTTTTACCATTAGTGTTAGACATTGCATTACTAATTTGTCGGGGAAATATATGGTCAACGATGAAATTTTTGTTGTTAATCCCGAACCCATAAAATAATGAGGGACCGAGTATTTTGTCACTAATTTCCCTCGCCATTCTTTTGCTAAATCTACTTTAAAAGACCCATAAACATTTTGCTACCAAATTTAGCAATATATACTTGTCCCTCGTTGAAAATCCGTTTCATAGTTGAGGTCTACATCTCAACAACGATTCTAGTTCATTCACCGATATGTCGCTATTTAGGGAGAGACTACAATCCATCACCGATTTTTGTCGCTATTTTTTAATTTTCTTGTAGTGTATATTACTATTATTAATAATATTATGCTCTTTTCATCTCTTATTCCTCCTCTTTCATTATCAAAATCATTGTTACTACCATCACTATTAAATCATTTATTTAATCACTATTCTTTTTCATTTTAAAAATTGATAGTACAAATTTTAAATTTTGTTTTGATTCCTTGATCAATTCCAAAAATTAATATTAAAATTAAAATATCATTCTTTTTTTTATATATATTTCCATTCCTATTCTTGCTCATATCTAATTTTCCATTGATGTTTAAATGCTCGACAAAGAGCTCTTTTAAAAAAAAACGATATTAAAAAAATATTTAAAAATTCACTATTCATTTACCGTAGCTACGGACCAGTTATCACTATTCATTAAAGCTTGTTCTTTTTTTGTGATTTTTGCTTCTTTCTCAAGTAGTTGTATACAAACTATACTACCTTTTATGCTTCAATCCACGATGTTTTTGAATTTTTTTATTTTTGATCAAGGTTTTTTTTTTTTTTTTTGGTCGGTCGGGATCCAAGGGTTAGAGAATCGGGCCCAAGTGGAGTTAGCCTTGCATGCAGCATGTATAAGCATGCCTAGGTGTATAAGGCTGGCCTCGCATGCAAGCCTAACCAAGTAGGGCTAGGGGATTGTAACACCCCCGACCTATTTGAGATCAAGAATGTTATTGACGGTGTCTCATACTCAAGGTGCAATGAATATGAGATACTAAGTATCACGTCTTCCGCCTCATATAATGCATAATAAAAATAATAAAATCAATTTGGTTTCCTTAAAATATTAAACAATTTTTTTAATTTACTAAATTATCTAAATATAACATGAGTTTATAAATGTTTAGCCTTTAAACTCTAACCTACACATATAGTACACTCTTGGCAAACTCGGCTCGCTTTTGACAACATCCTCAACATCACACATGTCTTCAAACATCATTATTTTACCAACATACCATAAGATAGACTATGAGCTAATACTTAATAAGTTTAATCGTGCATGTATGATGAAAAGAAATACATTTTCATAACTTTGAAAAATATTTTCTATGATTGGACGCACCCTACCGAATGTGTATATATTTGGCCCTCCATAAAACCATGACTATGAAAACCATGAAAAGCACTAGACATGTTCCATCCCCGTGACTCCTATAAAGCTCAAAAAGAGCCATTCCTATGAATTCTTATGAAACTCACAAGATTTGATCATTCTCTTGTAAATCAAATCCATGTTTAGATATACCAAGAGTATACACCGGATCATTTTCTTAGAATACCCTCTTTGAACATGTTTAGCCAAGAGTCTTTCCTAAAAATCATGTCATGTTTTTTTCTTCAAATGCATAAAACATGATAAAATAATTTCATGGTGTGGAAGCAATCTAAATGCATGATTTCACATAAACATAAACAAAGCATCATTAAGCATATCTTGACATGAATTTATAACCATCCTTAAATATATTCATGAAATCAAATTCGTCAACATGACAAATATTCAATCCAAATTCATCAATTAACCTCACATGCATTCGATTATCAAGTAAACATCCATATTTCTTCCATGTTTTGCGATGAATTAGATTACATGTACTTACCAATTATCAAAGTAACACATGAACATATCAAGCCATAACAATCATCAAATAAACACATCAATACATCAATCTATAAACACATAGTCCTTTGACACCTAGGTCTTACAGAGTGTGGTGTGTTTACACTTACCTTAAGTTTTGGCTAGCCCTAAAGATTTTAAAGATTTTCCCATTTCTCCCTTACTTTCCTTATGGCCAAAGTCGTCTAAATCTCCTTCTCTCTTACCCACACTCTTTCTCTTTTCCTCTCGACCAAACTCCCCTCGCACTCTCGACCACCTTCTCTCTTTCTCACGACCACGCTTTGGTTTTCCTAAGCCATTTTGATTTTCCTCTTTTATTTTCTCTCTTGTTGTTCATATGCTCTTTTTATCATAAATAACCTAACGCTTACTTCTTTTTATAAGCTCTCTTTGCCAACCTAGATAGTCTAGAATTATCCCTCTCTTTCTTTCTTTTCTTTGCCTACCTAGAAGGTTCTAGGAAACTCAAGATGTTGTGTTTCTTTTTCCTTCCCCTTTGGCCGACTTTAGAAAGGTTCTAGGAAGCTAAATTTGTCACATGTATTAAGGAATTCTTATGCCTAACTATTAAGGATAGAATACTTAAGTTATTAAGTAGAAAGTATGGAATTCTTTAGAATTCTCTAGAAGTTTATAGATTAACTTAGACTAACACTTGTTTAGGATACTAATTAAGCTTTATTTTTAAGTTAACATCTTTATGAGATACTTAATTAAGCAATATTTCTTGGTCCTCTAAATTTGGACAACTTTACAAACTAGTCACTCTACTTTATCACTTAGTTCACTTAAGCTCCTAATATTTTAATTGTTATGTTTAAGTTTCCTAATCACCTAGACACCCACATCACTTAGTAACATGCATTTGCAATAACAAACATTCATAAATGTAAGCACAAAGCATAACATGCACATACTTAATAAATAAACACATACAAGCATAAGAATGTTCGGGGTCTTAAGTATTACACGGACCGACTCGGCCTAGCACGGGCCTACACAAGCAAACCTAAGCACATGAGCCTAGCCTCTTTTTCTTCCAAAAATTTATTTTTCTATTTTTTATCATGTAATTGGTGTGTCAAAATTATAGAAAATATATCGTTATTTTTTTAGTTTTACTTACAATTTGACGATAGTAAAATATATATGATATATTTTAAGATTTTTTCTTGAACATATATATCAAATTATATTTCTTCAATTTATCATTTCTTATCAAAATTCTCATAGATTTAATTTTTTTATATAATTTTAATTGTTATTAAATATGGTTTTTTATATGAATTTTGAAATAAAAAATTAAAACATGATTATTTTATATTTTTTAATATATTATTATAATTTATATGATGAATGTTTATGAGTTTTAAATGAGAGTAGCGTAGTTTCATATATATATATATATATATATATATATATATAAAAGTGTGTTTTAGATGATTTGAATCAATTTTTTTAAAAGAATATTTAACTAATAAATTAAAAAATAAAATTCATGGGTTTTATTTATTTTTTTATATATATGATCAAAATTTATCAAAATCAATTTTGTCATAGCTTTTATTTAAATCTATTGGATTCATTATATCACATGCAACGTAGGTGATTATATATTTGAATCATTAATTTTGTTGAAAATTAATTATGTATATTCATACATAACACTAATTATTATTTTTTTTCATATTCTAAAATCAATATTTTTAAAATAAAATAATTAGAATAATGTTTTTTAAAAAATCCAATTATTGAAATATATTTTTTTAATAATATTATTGATTATTTTGATAATAAATAGATATAAATCAAATGATTTTACTTAATAAATAGATTTGATTTATATTGATTTTTAAAAACAAAACTTTTATCTATACTATAACATAAGAATTGTTAATTATATATATATATATATATATATCTCGGCTATACAACTATAGCATAACACAGGCATACAACTCGTGATACACTTAACAATCTTTACGACATCAATAAATGTACGGTGTTCAAGAAAAAAATTCCATGTCATTCAAAAAAGCAAAAATGTACGCACATCAATTTTCATATACTTTATACTTGGCTAATATGTACGGAGACTCATATCATGGCTTATATATTTTAATTGAAATAAATAATAAACTCTATAATTATATGTATCGTTACAGGTGGAACATCCAATCATGTGTCGACCGCATTTCGGTCCACCTCTATTTTTGGCGATCATCATTTCAATGATGGTTCGATTTCATCAGTTCCAGAAAGATGGGGAATCAAAAGTGGTCCTTTAAAGCTTTTTTGTTCTTATCGAGATGGAGAGTATTTTCAAGACAAAATCAAGTCTATCAATTGGACATTGACATTGACATGTTCTTTTTCAGCATTCGGGGCATCTTCTACTTCCTTAACTGTGCCTTCAACGCTCACATGCTAGGCTAGGATGCAATCTACGTTCACATGCTATTGCCGGCTTGCTGGTGCGATCTCTTCCGTCGAAGGTAAAGACAGGATATGTGCGCTCGTAGATACCAACACGATGAAAGTTAGAAGTGAATATTTCCGATGAAAATTTGTTATTTTGTGTAATGGTTCGAAATGCTTTTCCTTCTATCCATCTGTCTTTCTTTTTTCTTTAACTGAATTTACTTGTCCGATCAATTAATTTGGGTAGCCTAAATTGTTCCACCTATGATCCATTATTCTTTTTAGGAAAAAGGACACATTTGTCCCCAAACTAATATATGATTCCCATGTAAGTCCCCAATAGAAATAATTATCAATTGAGTCCCCCATCTATCTGATATTTTTCAATACAGTCCCTCCATCTATATCTGTTACCTATCATTGTTCCCTCATGTATTTTTGGCGCAAGATTGCACAAAAACAATTCCTTTTGGTGCTAAAATATAAAGCACTCAAAAATTTTGACAATGAAAAAGATAAAGATTGTTGCTAATTATATATATATATATATATATATATATATATAAAAGAAAATAATTTCGCTATAGCTAAATTCGTGCAATAGTGAACAAAACGATGTTGTTTTACATCATTTTAGATTGAAATAACTTTGTTTTACAAAAAATAAGTGATTTTTAGATAATTTTTTTTATGACTATGTAATTTATATAATTTTTATTCTCTTTTACATTAAAATTTTTTATACTTATTGTATTATATTTAAGAAATTAAGAACAAGATAACGATTTTGAGTTTTGTAAGAAAAATGACAAATTGAAGCAAAGAAACCCAAGTCAAAACAAGGAAAAACCAAAATCACCAAGGAAGCCTAAAGAGACACACAACCATGGCTAAATTGAGTCGTACAATAAGAAATAGCCACCGGTCGTGTGAAACAAATGAGGAAACCATATGGTTGTCCAACAACAAATACCACACGGGTAGTAGCTTTCCCCATGGCTAAAGCAAGGAAAGTGACACGGCCATGAATGTCAAAGCTAAGATATCTTCAAAGAGGAAAGAAGCAATACAAGAGTGGTAGCATTCCACATGGCATGCACTCGAAGAAGAGACACGCCCGTGTGTGTTAAAGCTAGAAGAAATCCAACGGATGAAGCAACAAAGGCACATTAGCAAAAGCCGGGGACACGGGATGAAGCAAAAGGAGACATAAGATGGAGTGCAAAAGGCACATGACCGTGTGCTTCTATCTAGAAAACCGTATAACACCATTTCTCCAAGGCTCCAAACCGTGTTAGATAAAGTTGCAAATCGTATGTCTTTACCAAAAAAACCCGTTTAGCCATGTGGGATGGACATATGTGTGTTGTACCCTAACGTTTAGCTAGAAATGCCAAGGCTATGGTTTTATTTTGGGATTTCCACTTTGGCATCCACCACTAGATAGAAAATTCTTTTGTAATCGGCGGTGAGTCACTCAACATCTATCCCGGTCGAAGGAAAGTTGATGCTTTTGATAAAATCATTGTGAGATCTTAACGGGTTCTAATTCTAAACTTATTCTTGTTGGTTATTTATTTTTATTTTCTTGTATTATTTAGTTATGATTATGTGATTAACCGATTAAAGTGTATGCTAGTTTTTTTTATCATCATAATCTATTATTAGCTAAGTATTCAAGTCCATATAATTGATTATTTAAATTTGTCGTTGGTAATAACTAGAGGTTAATGATTACAAATATGTCGCTACCTAGCGTCGGACAGGACTTCAAAAAATCTCTCTAAATATCTCTAGTTTAAGATTTTATTTATTTACAAAATTTATTTATAAAGTTTGGAGTCGCCATCTAGTATTGAAGGAACTAGGAACCTAAAATGGGCACTCGGTTCGGAGATTTTATGGTAAGAAGTTGGTTATGCTTATGAGAAAATATTTAATCACCCAAAAGCGCCCTTTTCTAAGAAAGGTATCATGTCTAGTTTAGTCCTAAATTCATCTCTTAAAGTGTTTTATTTTTGCCAAATTATTTTTCAATTTAAAACTCCAATTTTTCAAGTCAAATTAAGTTTTTTTTTTATTTTTGAGCGTGGCATCGTATTGAAACGATCGTAGGACCCCTTTCGTCGGGAGACACGTTGGTTCAAACATCGGATCCACTTTTTTAGTCTTGACACAACCGGTGTGTCGGAGAATACTTGTTTATTAAAATGAATCTTTTTGCTAACAACAGTCCCTATCGGATAGGAGACTTTGTTAAAAGTTTTATAATTTTATAATTTTTCTTTATTATATATATAGTGAAAGATTGTCATCGATCCCTAAAGAATTAGGAGACTTGACAATCTTCTACCTATTACTTACCGAACCTAATTACCAAATAAATAGATTAAAGCTACATGAATTAAATAAAAGAAGAAAATTCAAATATTGAAATTTAAATTAATAACATGCATGCATAAAATAAATTAAAGGGTAAATTAAAACCATTACAAAATATTAAAATAACAAATTCTAAATTAATAGAAACTAACTAACATGCATAAATAAACTTAAAATTAAAATCACATTAACTAAAATAATTAAAGACGATTCAATACTTAAATTAATTAATTACAAACATGCATAAATAAATAAAAAAACACATTTTTTTCTTCTTTTTCTTTTTCTTTCTCTCTGTTTTTTTTTTTTTTTGGTTCATCCAATCCAACCCAAAATTTTTCTTTTTATTTATTTATTTATTTTCGGATTGGATTGGAATTTCAATCCGACCCACTAACTCGTGGATTGGGCCAAGCCTAACCCACACCACTTAAAAACAAAAACCCAAGAACCAAAACCCAATCCTCATTTCAAAATAACTTAGATCAAAAGCCTTTTTTTTTTTTCAATTTTCCTTTCCTCCTCTCTCTTTCTCGTTTCTCTTTCTTCTTCTTTTTCTTCCTTTCTCTCTACCCAATCGCCATGGACGAACCAGTGGGGTTCATCCCTATTTCTTTTTTTTTCTTCTTTCCTTTTCCTCCTTTTCTTCCTTTCTTCTCTTCCTCCTTTCCCCCACCCCTCTCTTCTTCTTTTTCCCTTTCTTTCTTCTTTTTCTTCATCCCGAATCTGCCATGGACGAACCGTAACCATACCCCCTTTTTCTTTCCTTCTTTCCTCTTTTCTCTTCTTTCTCGAATCAAAACCCTAAAATCAATTTCACAAATTTTTTTCCCAATTTGGAGCCGAACCCTAACTTTTCAATCTTTCAAAATTCTCTTTCAATTAGTCAAATTAACTTGATTTCTCTTGAAATCAAGTCAATTCAAAGCTTTTAGGACTCAATTTTTGAAAAACCCCTAAATCAATTTTTTTTAAAAAAATCAAGAACCCTAAGTTAATTGAAATCAAATCGGTTTCGATTTTGGGGTTTAAACCCCAAATTGAAACTCCAATTAACTTAAATTGAGTTTAATTCATGTTTTCCAACTTCAATTCCAACTCAAAAAAAAGAAACCTAAAATTTCAAACGCACCATATATTCCGTAAAAAAAAAAAAAAGAAATTAAAGGGGAAACTAAAAGAAATCACCCCAAAATTTTGGTGAAGGTGGTGGATTTTCAACTTCAATTCAGGTAGAATTTCTATCTCTCTTTTCTTTTTTTCTTTTTTAATTTATTTTCTCTCTTTTTTATTATTTTTCTTGAATTTTTGACTCGCCTAATCTTCTCTAATTTTCGAACCGAATCCCCTCTCCCCTGTTTATGTTGTGACTTGTGCATATATATATATATATATATATATATATATATATATATATATATATATATATATATATGTATGTATGTCGTGAATGCTTGGTTGGTTCCTTCCCTATGATGGTGGGGGATTTTCCGCAAGATATGGATGTCAAGTGGAGGGTTGAATTGGATAGTTTTGTGAGTCAGTGGCGATGGTGAAACTGCTGAAAGTAGGGGAGGTTGTAGGGTGGTGCTGCAAAAATTTACAGCAGTAGAGGGTGCAAGAGGTTAAGTTGGGTGATGAGAGAGCTGCTGAAATTTACAGCAATAGGGTGGTTGGCTTGATATTGTTGATCGGAGGTGAGAATCTATGCAGGAGCAAGTTGAGGCCGACAGGATGGCCGGGCATAGGGTGAGGTCGTGGGTCAGTAAAGGAGGCCGGGCAATGGAGATTGTAAGTCGCTTGGAGTTGAGATTGTTAACTTGGGGAGAGATTGTTGAAATTTGCAACGATAGGATGGTGTAGGTGGAGGCCGCAAGTGGAGGAAGATTATGCGGGAATTGCATAAGAGAGGCTTCGGCTTCGGGTAAAAAACCGATTTGGGGAATTGTCCAGGATAACTAGGAAATGTTAGAAAATTGTAAAGGAAATGGAGGGGAACTGTCCTTCCATCTCTCGCTTTCATTTTCCTTTATATATATATATATATATATATATATATATATATATATATATATATATATATATATATATATTACTTTTTTATTTCTTTTTATAATTTTGTACCGAATTCTAATTAAATGAAAGAAAATATTTTTTTGATTTTTTAATTTGACTTTATGTAAAACATGTATGAATTTAAACAACAAAAAGAAAAATAAAGAAAACTAAAATGAAAGAACAAAGGGTAAAATTTAAGGTATGAAAAAATACATTTTCATTTAATTTCTTGAAAAATATAAAACTAGATTACATCTTTCTAGTATCTAAAAGGATGGTTTAGCTTCAACTGTCTTTTTCTATTTAATGTTGTTATTGTATTAAATCTAGCTAGCGTCTATTAGATTATTCAACCTTTACATATTAATCAAATAGGATTTGTTTGGTTAACAAATAAATAAGAAAAGATTTGAGACAACATACATGTTGTTGTCCTATGGAGAATATTCATGTTAAGAATAGGTTAATATTTAAATCAATTATCAACAATTAAACCGTAACACCCGTGATCTAAAACTCTCAAATTATATACACGTATTGTATGGATGTTTTGGTTAATAAACAAAAAGTATGTTTGATAAATGTGTGAATGAAGTTTAGACCTTAATTATGGATAAAAGAAATATAATTATGATTAAAAAGAAGTGTCAATGGAATGAGG